TTCTGTTCTGTGAATTAGAAGACACATTTGTAGTGTCAGGCTAACAAGGCTCCAGTGGAATTGCCTTGCCTCTGTTCCTATATAGTTCCTGGATGAATCTGTTCTCAAGGTCTACAGTCAATATGGAGGATACAAACACTCTTTCTCCCTTGGCTCTGGTAGGGACAGTTCTAAGGTATAGCTCTGTCTCCAGAGCTTTTCTTCATAGGGCTTCATCTGACCTCATATCCTATGTTGACTTTTGTCCAAGTCAGTCTCCCCTGATCTACATCTTTTCTTTCTCTGGGAACACTTTTCAAGAAATTAATTTCAGGGGACTGGAGAGATGGCTCCCAGGTCCTACCTTTCCAGAAGGCCTGGGTTTGATTCCCAGCACCAAAATGGTCAGCTATCTATAACTCCAGTCCTAGGAGATCAGATGTCCTCTTCTGGCTTCCATAGACACCAGGCAAGCACATGGGCACAGACATATGTGCAAGCAAAACATGCATACACATAAAATAAAATAATTAAAAAAAATTACTTTTACAGGAAGATTTGCTGAGGTCATGCCCTTGTTAAACATAGGTGGTTGGAAAGTCAAGATACTTGCTCGCTCCATCTTCTGCTCTCTATCCTACAAGCCTTTCTCCCTACAGTAAAAAAAACTGACCAACTTCATTCAATAACTCTTAACAAGAAGAGTAGAACATTATTGATGGATCAATATTCAGAATCAACCAATATAATATGCTATATTAAGAGGCTAAAGAAAAAAACATATAATCACAAAAAATTAATGCAGAAAAGTATTTCATAAAGTTCAACAACCATTCATACAAAAATTATCATGCAAAATATATAAAAAAACTCAAGAAACTATACATCAACAAACCAAATAATCCAAAATAGGGTAAAAGAGGTAAAGATCTAAAGAAAAGAAAACCAAAAATAAAAATAAATAAATAAATAATAAAGATCTAAACAAAATTCTCAATAGAGGAATCTCAAATGTCTGAGAAACACTTAAAGAATTGTTCCACATTCTTAGCCATCAGGGAAATGCAAATCAAAATGATTCTGTGATTCCATCTTTACACCCATCAGAATGGCAAAGCTCAAATAAGTGCCAGAGCATGCTGGTGATGATGTGGCTTACTAGTAATATGCTCCATTGTTCTGAGAGTGCAAACTTGTACGGCCATTTTGATATCAATATGATGGTTTTTCGAGAAATTGGGAATCAATCTACCTCAAGACCCAGCTATACCACTCTTGGGCATATACCCAAAGGACACTTCGTCCTTCCACAAGGACACTTGCTCAATTATGTTCATAGCAGCTTTACACATAATAGCCAGTAACTGGAAACAACCCAGATGTCCCTCAACAGAAGAATGATAAAGAAAATGTGGTACATTTATACAATGGAGTATATTCAGCTGTCAAAAACAATGGCATCATGAAATTTGCAGGCAAATGGATGGAACTAGAAAATCATCCTGAGTGACGTAACCCAGACCCAGAAAGACAAACATGGTATGTACTCACTGATAGTGGATGATAGCTGTACAGTAAAGGATAATCATGTTATAATCTATAGACTGAGAGAGGCTAAGTAACAAGGGAGGCCCAAGGGATGAGGCAAGGATCTCTCTGGTAAGAGGAAACAGATTTCACAGGTGGAGTAGAAGTGGGTGAGGATGGGAACAGCAGGGATCAGGTTGTGGGGGTGGAGGGAGAGACAACTGGAATTGGGGGCATTTGGAGGGCAAGGTAAAAACCTAGGGCAAAGGAAACTCCCTGGAATCTGAGTGTAACCCTAGAAACCTACAATCTATCCTGCCTGCAAGGTGTGCTGGGCTAAAGGTGGCACAGAACTTGTGGGAGTGACCAACCAGTGACTTGTCCAACTTGAAACCCATGCCAGCAGAGTGAGCCCATACCCGACACTGCCTGGAGGGCCAGGACCAGAGCCAGGACGGCCCAGAAACCTAGGATAGAACCAAACACAAATAGAAAAAAAAATCAATGAAATGATGCCTAATGATTGATACTCCGCTCCATTCGCAGACCTGAGCCTACCAGAGTCATCAATCAGAGAGGCTTCACCCAGCAAATGATGGGAGCGGATGCAGAGAGCCACAGCCAAATATTAGGTGGATCTTGGAGAACCCTGTAGAAAATGGGGAGGAAGGGTTGTAGGAGCCAGAGGGGTCAAGGATAACACTAGCACACCCCACAGAATCAACTAAGTGGGGCTCACAGGGACTCACAGAGACTGAACCAAAAATCAGGGAGCCTGTGTGGGTCTGACCTATGTCCTCCTGAATATATGTTATTGGTCGTGTAGCTTAGTGTTTTGTGGGACTCCTAATACTGAGAGCAGGGGTGTTTCTGACTCTTTTGCCTGCTTTTGGGACCCTTTTACCCCTGCTAGGTTGCCTCATGCAGCCTTAATAGGAGGGAATGTGCCTAGTCTTATTGTAACTTGATATGCCATGTTTGGTTGATAGTCCTGGGAGGCCTGTCCTTTGGAGGGAAGTAGATCTGGGGAGAGGGAAGGTGGGGGAAGAGCCTGGAAGGGGAAACTGAGGTTAGGATGTAATTATAGAAAAGAGTAAATAAGAAAGAAATAATGGAAAAGAACAGAATGTTCTCAACTCGATAACTTGTATAAACATCTGTACCATCTTGTGAAACTAAAACTCCACACCTATTAATTGAAAACTCTGTGGCTGGAGAGATGGCTCAGAGGTTAAGAGCATTGTCTGATCATCTGATGAGAACTGATAGTCTAAGATCAGAAAGAAGGAAAGGAAGACCTCCCCTATCAGTGGACTTGGGGAGGGGCATGCATGCAGAAAGGGGAGGAAGGGTGGGATCGGGAGGGGAGGAGGGAGGGGCTTATGGGGGGGTACAAAATGAATAAAGTGTAATTAATAATAATAATAAAATATTTAAAAAATAAAAAATAAACTAAAAAAAAAGAGCATTGTCTGTTCTTCCAAAGGTCTTGAGTTCAATTCAGCAATCATATGGCGGCTCACAACCATCTATAATGATATCTGCTGCTCTATTCTGGCATGTAGGTCCACATGCAGTCAGAGTACTGTGTAACTAATAAAAACAAATAAGAGAAGAAAGAAAGAGAAACCCCTCGTACTCCTCCAGGCCCTCGCATTTTCCTATATGGCAACCTTCTTAGACTCCTATATACTAGAACTTGGCAGTTCCTATGTTTGGATAACAAGGAGCCTAGGTTAATCTGACCTACCTCTAGCAGGCACCACAGCTCATGCTGTGTGCTAGTCACTGTAATCACTAATAGGTAAATCTACTGTCTCATCTCATTGTCACAGTGTTCTGAAGATGACTGTTAATTGTATTTATTTCAGGAATGGAGGAGGAGACTCCCTGGTACTGTATCAGCTGACACAGTTTGTTTTCAAACCCAGGGCCTGGTCAGCTCTCACAGTCACTATGCCACCAGCCATCATTCTGTCCATGTTCTTTGTGACCCTGGCTTCAAGCATGTTTATGTTTTGGAAGACAAAAGCAGCAGAAGAGCTTGCTGGCAATAGCTCTTCAGAAACCCAATTCTAGAATTCTCTCTGGGCTTTGATGTTCTGAAAATCTGGTTCCTCTTGAATGGCACAATAGGAAAAAGGGACAGGGACTCTCCTCTCCCAGATTAGCTTGCCTGGGACAAAGCCCCATCAGGACAGAGAGAAGGAAGGAAGGGCCAGAGATTTGTGGGCAGTAAAAACCTCTGGCAGGCGTGTTCTGCTTTTCAGCTCTTTCCTCTGCAGGGCGAAGGCACAGTTATGTGTAGTGTAACTTCTTTCACACATCATTCTTAAGAAAAAATTTCCAGTTGTTTTTCAAGAATGAATGCACTGACACAGGGAAGCCAAGCACATCGTCCTTTGAAAGCTAAAACTGCATACCCACTAAAGGGCCTCCTTAAACTTTAAGACCTTTGAAACTTTGAAAAACTTTTAAGAGTTTGTACTGCGATGTAGTTCCAGCACCTCCCGCCCCAGCATCTAAGAGACTTTTCTGTAATAAATGGCCAAGTCCATAAAGTTGTGCAGACTGCCAATGTTCCTCCAACATGTGAATGAAGGGAGTTATCATCCAGTTCTCACAATATTGGCAGGTTTTCAGAAGTGGTCCTCAGAGTGCTGCAAGAAAAGATTCTTGAGCAGTGGCTGGAAATGCCTCTTGTCAGAGACATTATCACCAGTAAAAGAAGATCACACGTAGAGTTGCATGGGCTTTCGAATCCCAGCAGAGGCATTCCACAAGTCTGGCTCAGAACCTCGATAGCACGGGCCAGTGGCCACAGATTGCCGGCAAAAGGAGATGAGGGTCCTGACAGCACTGGGGCAGATATAAAAATTGCTATTTTGAAGTAAACAAACAAATGAGCAGAAGAGGATATGGGAACAAACAACCCTGCTCTGGATGCATTTGTAGGTCCACAGCTCTCTGGCTTGGGTTGGGCAAAGCTGAGAGTCCAGTGCCCTGCTGGCAGAGCATCTTAGGCATCTCTTCTACTTTCTTCAGCTTAAAGGCCAGAAGCACTGACTGGTTCTGATCCCTTTGGTGAGGAGTGGGTTCAAACAGCTGTATTCCTAGGGAGCTCTTAGATATTAGCAGTTCTTGTGGATCCAAGTACCAATCTTTAAGAAGGGAAGAATTTGTTCAGAGCTAACTTTGTTTGGGGCTAAAATGTTCAGGAGAGAGAAAGGCTTTCTTAAAAGAACAACAAAAGTGATAAACTCCTGATGTGAAAACAACTTCAATGCAGGCAAATTAGGCCAGCAGATATAGGGAGGAGGGGCCTGGGTCACAAATTTCTTTATTCCTAGCAGAGTTTCAGAGGAGGGGAAAGAAGGAAGCCTTTGCCTTTGGCTCTGGGAGAGGAGAAAATGTTTTTCTCGGGACAGAAGGTGCATCACACAAATGAACACCGAGGACGGGGATGCATGCGGAACTGCGCCACCAGCCCTTACCTGAGCTCATCCTGATCAGTGTAGAGGTTCAGGAAAAGCCCCTCTGAGAATTCCTGAAGAACCTGGCCAGAGAAATCGAAATGCAGCTCATACGTGCTACCTGGCCACAAGGCCTGGGCCAGCTCCAGTACCACATATTGCATGTCGCGCGTGAACCACACATTGTCCACCAGCACCTTGCCTACAGTGGCGTTTCTAGTGCCCAGGGCCAAGGGACCCCACACTTCCACTTGCTTGAAATTCAGCAAAAAGCTGTGCAGCAAAAGTCTCGAGGTGGCCACTGTGCAGCGCACAGTGATGTTCACGCGACCCGTGAAGGTCAAATTCGGTGTGCACCCGTCTTCTGGCCGGAGCCGGGGCCACAACTCCAGATCGTAGTGAAGAGGGACAAGCCAGGGCGGCAGGCGGAGATGATCCCAGGGCCCCGACGGTGGTCGCCAGTCTTGAGGGGTGGTGGCCACCTTTGGCTCATGTGCAGTCTCTGGTGTCCGGGTTGGTGGCGTCCGGTCCTGGCCACTAGGAGGAGATAAGTCGGGACAATGCTGCTCCGAAGGCTGGACGCGCGCGCAGTTGCCATACAGGGCAGCCAGAACCACTAGCACCAGCAGGAGCGCAGCCGTCAGTCCCGCCAGCAGCAGGGCCAGTCTGCGGCTCACATAGATGCCGGAGCTGAAAGGTGTGCTCATGGCCGGATTCTAGGGTGGGCGAGACGGGGGACAGAGGCAGCAGATCAAACCCCGGACGGGATGCGCAGCGATGGGACCCCCGCCCAGTTCCTCTCTTGTACTGTCCCTCCTCTTCCAGGAGCCTGGGAGGGTTGAGACTGAAGAAGGCGACTGGGACCATGGTTTTCCCCTCCCCTAACCAGATCCAGATTCCTGCCTACCTACCCCCGCCCCACCAGAGACTAGGAGGAAGGGCGGACCCCTCACCAGAGAGCGCGCCCCGTTGGTCCTTTCAGGGAAATACTGTCAAACTAAGCTCTGTGTGACATCGACGGCCCTTTCGTTTTTTGCTTTGTTTCGGAGAAGGGCGGTGTTTGTTTGGTTTGGTCTGGTTTTTATTTGAGTGGGACTGGCTGGAATGTGAGCTGTCAGGTGCAGGTAAGGCTCCTGAGGGACGGGGTGGGCTGCGGTTTTGAAGACACTCTCCGAACTAAGTCCGCAGAGTGACCACGCCGCTGCCGCAGCAGCAAACATCCGAACCGAAGGTGGTGTCTCCCAGTCGCCTGCAGATTAAAACGGGTAGAAACGCTGCTCGGGCAGCAAGTGTGAGCTTGGAAGTTTTGCTGGATGTGGGGACCAAAATCAAAGCAAAGCAGACAAACAAAACCAGGAAACCGTGAGCAATGCCTAGCTAGTGGAAAGGATGGAAGCTAGGGGACCGCAGCCTCCGCTTAGGTCCGCAACTTTGACAGGAGCGAGGTTTGGCTCTGTGCTTCCCCACAAGGAAAAAGGAACTCCTGCTTATAAAATTAGATCATTTTAAGCAAAGAAGATAAAGAGATCTCTCCCCACCCAGAAACCAGGGAGCTGAACTGTTTTCTGGCGGTGTCCTGATTTGAGAGTTCTCTGGCACGCCAGGCATCTGTTTGCTATTTGGCCGTTGTGCCTGGTCGGGTTCTCCGCCAGTGCACTAAGTCCTGCTCTGGGTCTGTAGACACGAGTACACGCTGCTGGGCGCATTGGGAAACCATGATTAAGATCTGCTGAAGGCAGATACATTTCAGAGTATCCCGTCTTTAACTGTCTTCTTTTTCCCTCCAGAACCATTGAGAGAAAAGCTTTTGCTTGGCAGCTGTAACCAACCAAGGATTAGCATTCCTGTTTTGCCCTTAATTCTTCCAATGATGAAATCCTTTCAGCTGAGGGTGGACTGCAGTGAACCTCACGGGAAACGAGTGTTTACTCTCTCCTCCAACCGAAATCAGTCACATTAGCACCATAAAACAGGGAAGTGGAAGTCAGCTTGACAGTAAGCTCAGAAAGATGCCCTGTCATCTGTGGGCAAGTCTCCCACTCCTTGGTTAGGTTTCCTCCTTCAGCAAAAGAAAAAAATCGTGGTTAAAAATCATTTTAAACACGTGCCTGATTCTCAGAAGATCCGTCTATACCTTCACAGTGACACCGCTGGAATCTGATGAAAGTTCACAGCAGGCCCTCTGGGTTTAAGCCATCAGATGGAAATTGTGATTGAGCTAGATAATTGATCAACTAATAAACCTTGGGTTTACTTTCCCATTTCTCCCTCTCACCCCTACTGTGGGCTGAACAAGAGTTTATCTTGATCACTTCTGCAGTCTACTGTGGTGGCTAAGGCAGAACTACCAGAAGTACCTGGGTAAGATTAGAGAGGATGTTTTAGTAATACACACACATACAGAGAGAGAGAGAGAGAGAGAGAGAGAGAGAGAGAGAGAGAGATGAGACAGAGAGACAGAGACAGACAGAGAGAGACAGAGACAGAGAAATACAGAGGCAGACAGAAACAGAGAAATGGGCAAAGACAGAGAAAGATGGAGAGACAGAGATAGAGATACACAAAGAAACAGGGAGAGACAAACAGATCAGAGGGACAGAGAGAGGACAGACACAGTGAGGCAGAGAGACAGTAACAGATAAAGATGAAAGAAAGAGATGGAGAGACAGACAAAGACACACAGAGAGAGGAGACAGAGAAATGCAGACAGACAAAGACAGTGATAGAGAATCCTAGGATTATAGGCATAGACACAATGGCCACTTCCTTCTAATTTGTATGTGCATATTCTATAGATTTTTCTTTGAGGTTATTATTTGATGTTCCTAAGTGATATTAATGTTCTCATTTTATATCAACTTAATTGCAAAGACTACAAAGATTTCTGGTCCTATTTAGTGCTACCCATATCTTCAACTCATTTTATAAGTTACATCTTTATATGTGTAAAATAATACAAAACTTTATATTAAAAAAAAAGCAGTGAAATTGAAGCAATACTTTAAAATCTCCCAACAGAAAAAGTTTCAGTCCACATGGATTCACTGGGGGCTTTGATCAGAATCTCAAAGAACTAACAGTAGAGTATCAAACTGTTCTATAAATTAAGAAGGGAAAGAACAATCCCAAAATATTTTATGAAGTTAGTATTAACCTGATACAAAAACTAGATGAAAGCACAACAGCAAGGGAAAAATGAAACTGAAGTCCAATCTTCCTGATCAACACAGATGCAAAAAATTTTCAACAAAATACTACAGCCTGAACTCAAGAGCACATCAAACAGATGATTCACCATGATCTAGATCACTTTATTCCAGAGGTTTGGGGAGGGTTCAATGTGTATAAATCAGAAAATGTTACAAATTATGTAAATAGATTTGAGATACAGATTCAATGTAATCATAAACAAAATTTTTCAGATAGAAAAAAATTAAAATTATTATGAAATACAGAAAAATCTGGGTAGATATAAGCAATCTTGAGCAAAAAGAATGGTGGTGGAAATATCACCTGTGGGGATCAGGAACCGAGGGGACATGGGGTGAGTGGCCCCACACAGAAAGCCCACACAGAATCCCGGGAATCAGAGTCCTGAGACCAGACTCAAAGGTACAGATCTAACTTTGTTGTCCAGTATAACAGCCTTTAAATGGAGAAAGCCAATCAGACAACCTCATGCTAGCCTGAAGCACCAGCAACAATCCATCAGGTTGGTGCAACTATAAGGAAGAGTGGGAGACTTCCGTAAAGAAGGGGGAAGCAGTCATTGCCCTATCCTCGATCCATTTTGAGACGTCACTAGTTTGCTAGGACTTCCTAATTCATCAACACTGTTTGGAATGGTTCAGGACCTTTTGAGGAGTCATAGGAGTCGCTGATGCTTCACTCACCATTCCCTATGGGCCTCCAAAGGGCTTACCTCAACATTCCCCCCAAGCACCGTACAAATTCTACTCCTCAACCATAGCAATAAAATCAGCATTGTGCTGGAACAAAAACAGACACGTCGATCATGGAATTGGAGAGGACCCAGACTCGGGACCCTACAACTGAAGCCATCTGTTTTTTCTTTTTTAAACAGGTGCCAAAAATACACAATGGAAAAAGATACAGCTTCACCAAGCGGTTTAGGGGGAAATTGTTTATCTACATGTACAAGAATGAAACTCTACCCTTATCTCTCACACTGCACAGAAATCAACTTAAAACAGATTAAGAATTTCAGTCTAGGATCTGAAAAATTGAAACCATTTTTTTTAAAGTAGAGTACATTTCAACACATTGACATATATAAAGGCTTTCTAAACAGGACTCTGGTAGTTCAGCAGGTAAGACCAATAATTTTTAAAAAATGGGACTTCAGGAAGTTATAATTCTTTATTACGGCAACAGATGCTGTCAAGTAAAGAAACAGTCTCAAGAATGGGAGAAAAAAAAATTGCTAGGTATTCATCTGTCCTGGCTAGTTTTTGTCAATTTGACACAAGCAAGAGTCATCTGGGAAAGAGGAACCTCAACTGAGAACATTTCCTCACCAGATCCACCTGTGGGCGCTTTCTTTATTGATGATTGATCAAGAGAGTCCAGCTCACTGTAAATGGTGTCAGTCTTGGGCAGCTGGTCCTGAGTACTATAAGAAGGCCAGCTCAGCAAACCATGAGGAGTAAGCCAGTAAGCAACACTCCTCCCTGGCCTCTGCTTCAGTTCCTGCCTCCAGGTTTCTGCTGGAGTTCTAGCCCTGTCTTCCTTCAGTGATGAATACTGACCTGAAGGTAATAGGTGAAATATTCCCTTTCCTCTCTACATGGCCCTTTTGTCATAGTGTTTATTAGAGCAATAGAAACCTTAAGACAGATACTGGTACCAGGATTGTGCGGTATTGCTATGACAGACCTGACCATGTTTGGGTGAGGATTGCAGAAAGTGGGAAAATTAAAGCTACGAGTAGCACAGATGATGGAAGCCTGTCTTGTGAAGTTTCAAAGGGAAGTTTGAGAGTCCCTTAGAGACTCTGTTGGGGATATTTGGGGGATATTTTGAATTAAGAATCTGTGGTTCCTTCTTATGAATTACTGGGCAGGAGAATTCCAAAGACATGCCTCCCCTCATGTGCAATAATAATAATAATAATAATAATAATTAATAATAATAAATTAAAAATACAGGCTATTACCATTGCTCTAGGTTGCCCATCATAACTAAATGGTCAGATCCTCTTGCTGAAAATAGCATATACTTTACAAGACAGAGAAATCAAGTCAGGACTAAGGTATCTCTCATCAAGCTTGGAGGAGCCATGCAGGCCACTTGGAAAGAAAAGTCATTCATGGTCTTACACAGTGGTGGGCCCTGCATTCTATAAGACAGACCTAACAAGCAAGATGTGCGTACTGGTACAATAGTGGCATGATTGTTATATGGATAATCAACAGCTTTGTGACTGGATTTGAGGCCTGCTCTACAGGAGGGACTGGGACTGTAAACCTAGTCAAAAGTCCATGGGTGAGGAGCTCATTAGTCCTAGGGAGAAATTTACTACTGTTGTTTGCTAAATGAACATGTTGTCAAAGAATATTCTAAATATTTATGTCTATACCCATAGATTATAACTGTATCTAGAACTTTGGAGAATGACACTAAAATACTAAGGAAACATAATGATCTATTTGAAAGAAATATTGGAATAAAAGACTAGAAGAAAAAA